ATTGGAAGGGCCATTCTTGTCGTAGTCGTATAATGCTGGCTAACGCAAGTCATTGTATAGGCCACATCGCATTCAAATGCCACTACGAATGTACAAATGGAAGTAGAATGCGTGCCGCATCCCAAAAAGGGATTGATCAACGGCAAATGCTTTATCCTTTATCCTTTTATAAGGTCGTTTTAGCAAAGGATGCCCCGCTATAACACAGCAAAGGCATGGCCGCGTTTGACAGCAGATGGACAGCTGAAACCGACTCCGAAACCGAACATCTACGAAACGCAGGTCGCTTTGGTATTTCAGCAGTACGAAACTGGTGTAGCTTGAAGGGCTGATTATGAGTTGGTCAGTTACTGTTGAAGTCTATGCAGAGAAGGTTGCTTGCTTCAACCAAGTGCTGCGCCATGAAGGGCCATTCTGTCCGATATGATGTTGGTGCACAAAAGCACAAACCCCATTTTGCGGAATTCCCCAGAAAGAAATCGAAGAATAGGACATGGGTTCGGCTCCGCGTGACAATTATAGCAGACTTGGTGCCTTCTAGTCCGTTCATTCCGGTCAGCAGTGGCTAAGAATAAGTTCAAGAACTATGACGACACTGAAATTTTTTGTGTCTAACTCCTTCGAGCTGTACCCGAGACACTTCTCCAAAGATATCGTCGATTCCTTGCACACTGTTCGGAAAGGAGGACACAATTAAGTTCTGTGTGCTTTGCTGTTGTTTTTACAGTGAAATTTATTGGTGACCTAAAAAGACATTTCAAGTTGGGCGTTTAGCGCTAGAGCACAAACTATTCAGTGGGGAGCTGAGACTTTATAACGATTTCATAACAGCTTGATAACAACAGCAGAAAGGAAAAGAAATTCCCTTCTATCCGCTGATAACTGATATATAAAAACCTAGCGATGGAATCACTTGGAAAAGAAGGGATGGGATGGAGAGGTTGTCCGATATCTAAGCAGGTGTTACACTTAGACTTACGGCAGAATACTCCTCCTTTTGACATTCGTCGACACAATAGAACGGCGCTTCTTTCATCCGTGCAATGACGAGTTTGCTGAAGTTTTTGTAGTCGCTTCCAACGGCACCAGCGCCCATGTGCTAAAGGCGATGATCTTTGCCCTTTTTTGAAACATGACGTAATTCGCGCTCAATATAGAGCCAATGAGAGGCTGATGCTACTAACATCGCTGCACTATCACTTTACCCCATCATAGCAGCATAATGATGCACTGCTGAAACCGTCATTGAAAAGCAGTGCAACCATCTCCAATTCTCTATAAGCCTTGCATGAGCCATCATGATATAATAGTAGATGTGTAGCAGATAATTTTCGCATGGGTTTTTGACTTCCCCGGCTACAATGTAATTCTAACCCTGGCTGCACCAAATTCTCCTGATAGACAACATCACCCCTTGCATTCTTTAGAGAAATATAAGAATTTCAAAAGAATCAGATATCACTCTTGCGCCACTTTCGGGAGGACTATTTCCCTGGAGTCCTTATTATCATTGCATATACACTGCGACGCATAATCTTAGTTCCACCTACAAATTTCCCAAAAACTAGAATTTGGAGATGTTTTTGAAAAGGCTCTACAGACAAATTGTGACACATGCAAATGCGAATCTGAATATTATCACGGAAATCCAGTTTGAGAAAGCAAAAATTTTTTATCCTCATTTTT